GTGTCGTCGTTTGCACTATATTATTGTATTTGTCGTGGTATTTCTCCACTATCACTTACCCCACCATTAAATGTTAAACTTATACAGTTTTCTCACTACACGGTTGAAAAATAGTACAAAGGTTCTAAATAATCAAGTATGAGTAAGCTACCCATTTGTTTTTCTTTTTCCTTTTTTTTTTCTACATTATAATTCACAAATGTAAAAAGAAATAACCATTTCCTTGTGGTCATTTTATACTAACTATTTATTTTATTGATTTTACAGAAAATGGTTTATATCATGATGTATATTCAACAAATCAAGGTTGTTTTATTGTCAATTACAACACAATGTTGTAGAATGAAATGAGATATTACTAAATCTACTAGATAACTGTATCTGGAGTGGTGCTTCTTTTAGCTATCTTTGGGCTCTGCGCAGAACTTCACCTCACCTGGGCCGTGCACATCCCATGCCAGTTTGTGATGTTTCCAGTCAGGATGCTTTCTATCGCTCCTCTTTGAAAGTTAACAATAACTTTGCATGGGAATTTTGCTTTCTTGAGTTTCTTTAAGAAATACAGTCGTTTCTGTACTTGTGAGATGTGAGATGATCATGACAGGTTCTCTATAATGTTGATTCCCAGGAGCCTAAAACTGTTGACCTGCTCCACCTCAGCTGTGTCTCTGTCCTTTTTTCCTAAAATCAACAATCAGCTCCTTGGTTTTGCTGACATTGAGCAGTAGGTTGTTTTCTGTCCACCACTCTGAAAGATTGTTGATTTCCTCCCGATATCATCATTGTTGTTGATGGTGGTGTCATCTGAAAACTTCTCCATGTTAGGGGTTGCAGTCATGAGTGTACAGTTTAAACAGTGAGCACACAGCCATGATGGGTTCTGGTGTTGAGCAATTTATTGGAGGAGGCTACCAATCTGATTAATTTGAATATATTATCATTATCTGGATATGAAATTACCGCTCTAATTCCACACATCATTTAAGTTATATATAACCAGTGAATTGGGAAGCTGTTGACTACAATGAATGAGACTTTTTTTTTTTTTTTTTGTTTAAAGTTTACAACTTTGACCTTCTGTTTCACACAGGAACCAAAACAAGAATTAAAGGTTGACACTACTGTGCATCAGAGGACAGTTGCATGGATTTAATCTACCTCAACTCCCCCACATTGTGCCGCTGGGCAACTTTTGATTGTCTCTGTAGCATCAGGAGGTTTAGTTCACAGTGAATGGTAGCCTGTTGCATGCCACTCTGTTTGAGTGTATCAAGGACCCACAGCTCCTTTTTGCCACAGAGCCCCCTAGCATGTTAATGTAACCCTAATTCCGAGTCTCCTCTGTTCCTCCAGTCGGTTCATCCTGCACATCCCGAGTGAGGAGAGGGACAACGCTATTCGGGTGTGCTTCCAGATTGAGCTGGCCCACTGGTTCTACCTGGACTTCTGCATGCAGAACATTCCAGGAGCTCCTCACTGTGGAATAAGAGACTTTGCCAAAGCAGATATCCTACATGTGAATCATAATATTGAATTACCATATCACTTTTTAATTCATGATTTAGTTTATTTTACATAAATGCATTGATGACTGTACAGATTCCAAGGCAAACTATTTTTAGAACCTTCAAATGGATTACTTATGGGTAACAGCTACCCAAAAGAAATGATCAGTGATTTTATTACAAACTAACATCAGTGGTGTGTTTTTTCCTCTGAGCAAGAAGCCAAGTGTGGTGCTCATGTTTGTTTGGATAAGACTTTGTTTTCCTTGACAGCTGCAAACTCTTCCATCACTGTCCGTTTCTATTGCCTCACGGAGAGGATGTGCAGAAGGTCCTTGAACAGTGGAAGGAATATAAAATGGGTGTACCTACTTATGGAGCAATCATTCTAGATGAATCACTTGAAAAGGTGAGTTATTTTTTCCTATTCATACACCACAAGCAATACCTGATGTAGATTTTATTAAGTAATGTAAATTATATTTCTCATTTATTACATCTCACTTATTTCTGGAGGTGTAACAATTCTTCCAGTCCGTGGTCTGAATTGATTTAAAAACAAATTGCACTGTTGGTCATGCCATTGTTTATCCATTCTATGCCCTTACCCGTTACATTTTAAAATTTCCTTTTTAAAAAGATACAGACCATACAATCCTTATTATCATCACTATCTTGTTGCTGCTGTTTACTTTACCCCAGACGGGGGCCAAATTATTGCCTGGGTGTATATGTGTATATAAAAAACTGTAAATATTTTATTTATTTTGTATGCTAATAACAATTAATTTAATTATCTTTTTTGTGTGTAGCATAAAAGAACTGCAAACTTTAATTTTGGTATACAACCATGTGTTGTATAACGATACATTTCCTTAAGAGAAAGAGAGATGACTTCCTATTCCTCGGGATGACTTTCTTCCAGATAAAAGTTTACCTTGGCAGTTATTCCTGCCGGGTACAGAAATAGGGAGTTACGGTTAGGCTCAGTTTTGTTTCCTCCCGTAAGGCAACAGTGTTAAAGGTTGTTAGTGGTGTTCTTTGTTAACTTGCTAACAACTCCCTCTACTGCCTCCCACTGTCATTGACTAGAGTTAAGTGTGGCACTGAACAAAAAAAATGGAACAAATTGTCAATCTTTGCATTGAATAGCCAAATCCAGGTACAGCCCTAGAAGGATACCTTGATTTTTCTGTGATTTTTTGACAATAAGAAAAATGAAAAATATCACCAACCTTGTCCTTTTAAGTTAAATAATTTAATATTCTTTATTTTCAGACCAGTGATATTTATTAATATTAAATTAAATTATATTAATATTTTTCACCAGTGCACACCTAGTGCTGTTGCTAAAAACATCTTTCCTCTTAGGTGCTGCTTGTTCAGGGCTACCTTGCCAAGTCAGGCTGGGGCTTTCCAAAGGGGAAAGTTAATGAGGATGAAGCTCCTCATGATTGTGCAGTTCGTGAAGTGAGTTGCATGTTCAACTGTGACCAACTGAAAACATTAAGAGCAATATATAATGCTTGTACTTAATTATAATTAAAAATACTGGTTGTTATCCAGGTGTTGGAGGAGACAGGCTTCGACATTAAAAATCGCATCTGCAAAGACATGTACATAGAGCAGAAAATCACTGATCAGCTAGTGCGTCTGTACATCATACCAGGAGTGTCAAAGGATACCAAATTCAACCCCAAAACAAGGAAGGAGATCAGGGTAGAAATTCCTTTTTAAACATTTTATCCTCAGATTAAATTATAGCTTTTTGTAGCTGACAAAACATATAATCATCTTCTTCTTTTCTTGTAGAACATTGAATGGTTTCCTATTGAGAAGCTCCCATGTCACAGGAACGACATGACCCCAAAGTCTAAACTTGGACTTGCCCCCAACAGGTTTTTCATGGCCATTCCATTCATAAGGTGCGTGTGTGGAATGTTGCCTATTAATTATTTTCAAGTACATATATGGAGTCAAAGTTCAACAAAACACCTACAGTACCAGCTCCTTTAAAGCTCACTATATAAAATGTTGTATCTCATTTGCTTAACCTGTACAAACACAAATGTAAAAATAACTGTGTGGTTGCCTCAATGTTGTTTTTATGTTATAAAAATGTTATGTAGTTTCATTGTAGTAATTTACTGATTTTGATGGCACACTTCCTGCTCCACCTGTACAGACCGTTGCGAGAATGGATCAGCAGGCTGAAAGGCGAGTCAACAGACAGCGATGAGGACTTTTCAAACAACGGCAACGCTCCATGCAAACCCTCAGACAATGCTCGGTAAAAACACCTCATCAGTTCTCAGTACAAGTTGGTCACTTCTCTTTTTTGGAAACAAATACAAGCCAGTCCTACACAGATTAATCATCAACTCTGTCCCTTCAGCTCTACTGAGCTTTAGAGTTTCTGTCAGCTTATTGGTTCAGTTTTCCTGCCCACAAAATCTGCTCTTATTTTACATTTCTCCAACAGCAGCAGGCATCCTTTTTACAGCGAAAAAGCTCTGATAAATCTACTGTACACACTTTGAAAACAGCTCTTATATCAGCCAAGTATTTTTTAACCAAAAATGGTAAGCCATTTTTGCTTGGCTAGAATTCTTAAAAGTAGCATAAGAATCTAGCCACTGAAAGACCATAATGGGCCTTAAAACTAGTAAGAATGCCAAAAAACAACGTGTGCTTATTACAAGCAATGAAAACTTAGTTATTTAAGATAGACTTTCTTAAAATAAGTATGTATGTATTGTCATTTTATTGAATTTAATTTCTTCAAACAGCATAATATAAATAAGTGGTTTTGTCTTAAATTAAGGCACCAGAAGCATTCTAATATTTAGCATTTGTTTAATAAAAAACTAAATAGCTACTTCATTTACAACACTGGGACAAGATTACTTTCTTTTAAATTTAGAAGTAGTGCAAGGGGTCTTACTCTTAAAATAAGTAAAAATAATCTTCTTCTGCTGGGATATTATGCAAACTAGTGATAGACCGATACGGATTTTTTAGGGCCGATGCCGATACCGATTTTTTTTTCACCAGCCTTAGCCGATACCGA